CCCCCCAGAGCTGTACCCGGGGCAGGCGCAGGCTGTGGGCTCTCACCTTGCTTCACTGCCCACTGTCCTCAGCCACGCCAGGTCATGTCCTCTGGCCTCTGGAGCCCGGAGGACGTGACCTGGCATGGCTGGGGACAGTGGGGCTGCATGGGGATCTCCTCGCCACCACTCCCCACCTCTGCCCTGGTGATGCACCTCCAGTGCTTTGAGGGGCGCGGCCCCATGCCGCTGACCTCACTGCAGCCCTGCATGTAGGAGGCGCGTCACTGGGGTGGGGTGGGGAGCGGGGGGCAAACAGTGGTGAGGAGATCCCTGCGCGGCTCCGCTGCTGCCTGCCATACCAGGTTGTGCCCGCCAGGCTCCGGAGGCCTCAGGGGAGGGAAGCAGGGTGGCAGGTAACAGCAGACCTGTGCGGAGAAGCTGCTAGCCACTGTTCCCTGCCACCCTGCTGAAGCACTATAGTGGATTTGCTATACATACAGAAGCTGGTGCCTTCCACATATCCTACAGATATAAATGTCCCTGGCCATACTCCTAACAGTTTAGACTAGGCCAAGCTCCTGGGAGCCCACAATATTGGCAGTACAGACCTCAGGAATCTGTAACAGTGCTTGATCCCTGAGCCCAGCTTTTGTCCCCCTCCTGCCTCTATCCCCACTCCAGGCCCTGAGGCAGCATCTTAATATTAGTCTTGCTCTAATGTACCTTAGGTATAATGTGCTTTTTCTGGTCTGGGGATGGTATGTTAAATCTGAGTTCTACTGTACATTCATTCATGCATCCAGGACCTGAGATATCATAGAATTATAGAAAATTAGGGTTGGAAGGGACCTTGGGAGGTCATCTAGTTCAACCCCCTGCTCAAAATAGGACCATCCCCAAGTAGATCATCCCAGCCAACGCTTTGTCTAGCTGGGTCTTAAAACCCTCCAATCTCTCTGAGTAACCAGAGACAGGCTCCAGGAGCGGCGAGAGACGTGCTCTCCCAAAGCCCCCCAGTGACCCCCAGCAGCCGCAGAGCACCCCGCTGACCCCCAGCACAGCCGGAGGTAAGTGGGGCCTGTGGTGGGAGGGGGTTAACCCCAGGTAGTGGGAGGAGGCAGCTGAGTGGGCTGAGGAGGGTCTCACCCCGCCCCCCAGGGAAAGTGTAGTGAAGGGGAGAGGGTACTTACCAGTCCCTCTCTGCTGGGGCAGGGTCCCCTAAATCCTAGGTAGGGTCCCCCCTAGCCCGGGAACAGCATAACCCCAACAGCGGGCCCACTGTGCATGCGCGCAGTTTAAAAGGGAACACCAAAGCAAAAAAAAAACCCCAGACAGGCTCCAGGAGTGACGACAGACATGTGGGAGAAAGCCCACTGTGCCCCCACTCCCCCGAAGCCCCCCAGTGGTTAACCCCAGGCAGCAGGTGGAGGCAGATGAGCGCCCGAGGAGGGTCTCGCCCCGCCCCAGCCCCTTCTTCGCCCAGCCCCCCAGGGAGCCACATGACCGGAGCCTTGTGAACAGGCTGCACAAAAAGGCATGCTTGATTGCCGGAGTTAGTGCGGAGTTTGCGCAGGAGGGCGAGCAGGAGGGCTCGAGGCCCTGCCCTTGCGCCCTAAGGAAGGCAGTCCCAGCCGCAGCCAGCCTACCAGTGGCATGCTGCAGATAGGCACACACCGCAACCCGAGGGCCCCCTTGGGGTCTGCGGCCCCCCCCCTGGTGCCTCAGAGGCCTCTACCCAGACAGAGCCCCTGGTTTCAGGCTCCACGCAGACGGAGCCTCTGGCTCTCGGCTGTGGGGGCTGCCTCTCTTTTTCAGGCTCTGGGGGCTGGGGGCATGGCCACCTCGTCTGGGAGCATGGCCACCTCCCCTTGTGAGGTCTGCTCCCTTTTGGGGTCTCTAGTGCGCCAGGTGGAGGAGCTCCAGGCCACAGTCCAGAGACTGCGTGCCATCAGGGACTGCGAGCAGGAGATTGACTCCTACTGCCAGGACCTTCTCCCCCAGAAGATAGAGGGTAGACCACAGTCTCCCCCCAGGACAAGGGAGGACTCGGGGACCTCTCATTTTGTCCAGCCAAGGGGATGGACCAAGGTGGTCAAGGGCCCCAAGGCCCGCTGCACCAGGGTCCCCCCACCACTGGAGTTTTTCAACAGGTATGAACCTCTTGCAGCCCCAGCAGATCCTGCTAAGTTTCCAGCTCCCGCGGGCAACACAGGCTCTACTGTAGCTACTGCCCGCACTCTCCCCAAGACAAAATGCATAGTGTTTGTCGTGGGAGACTCCATCCTGAAGGGAATGACGGGGCAATCTGCCACCCCGACCCCCTAAGTCTGGGAAGTCTGCTGCTTCCCGGGAGCCCGTATCTGAGACACTGAGGAGAAGATCCCTAAGCTCCTCCAGCCCACTGACCACTATCCCATGCTCCTTATTCATGTGGGCACCAATTACACAGCTCAGAACGCTCCCAGCCGGATCATGAAGCACTACAGGGATTTGGGAGTGGGGCTAAAGGGCCTGGGGGTGCAGGTAGTGTTTTCTTCAATCCTCCCAGTCTCGGGCTATAGGCTGAGGAGGGAGAGGAGGATCCAGGTAGTAAACCAATCCATGTGGAACACGGCACAGGGGACACAATAGTGGGAGTCTATTACAGACCTCCCACACAAAGTCAAGAGCTTGACCAGGAGTTTGCATGGGAATTGGCTGAGGCCGCATGATCCCGGTCCATGGTTGTCATGGGAGACTTCAACTACCCAGACATCTTGTGGGAAGAGCGCTCGGCTAAATCCAAGCAGTCGCAAAGCTTCCTCATGCGTGGATGACCTCTATCTGACACAAGAAGTCTACGGGCCAATGAGAGGTAAAGCGCTGCTCGACCTGGTACTGACAACCAGGGATGACCTAATCAGTGACCTAACAATCGATGGGAAGCTGGGTGACTGACCACGATCTGATCACCTCCCCCCCCTGCCGTAAAGCTGGTAAGTCAGTCAGCAATACAGAACTCCTCAACTTCAGGAAAGCTGACTTTGACAAGCTCAGGAGGCTTGTCGGTGAGGCCCTAAGGGACCAAGACCCCAAGGGGAGGGGAGTTCAGGAAGGGAGAGGAGTTCAGGAAGAGTGGTTGCTCCTCAAGGGAGCGATCGTTGATGCACAAGCTAATGCTATTCCATCTCGGAGGAAAGGCAGCAAAAGGGCACAGCAGCTCCCTTGGCTCTCCAGGGAACTAGACCTCCTGAGGCTAAAAAGAAAGACCTACAAAGGATGGAGGATGGGCTCTACCTCCAAGGAGGAATATTCTGCACTGGTCCAGACCTGCAGGGAGTGAACCAGAAAAGCCAAGGCTGCGACGGAACTCCAACTAGCTACAAATATCAAGGACAATAAAAAGTCCTTTTTTAGATATGTGGGGAGCTGGAGAAAAAGCAAGGGCAACATTGGACCCCTGCTAAACCTGATGGGACAACTGACAACTGATGCCCAGGAAAAAGCCAACTTACTAAATGGGTACTTTGGGTCAGTCTTTCACCAGTCCCACGGGATGCCTCTGCCCATCATGGGACAGGGAGGCCTGAGTGAGGGAGATTCCTTGCCCTCCATCAATGCTGACCTCATGAAGGAACACCTTGAGAGGCTGGACATCTTCAAGTCAGCCATCCCTGACAATCTACACCCCAGGGTACTCAAGGAGCTGGCTAGCATCATAGCTCAGCCCCTGGCATGGATCTTCGAGAACTCCTGGCACTCTGGTGAAGTGCCCGAAGATTGGAAGAAAGCCAGCGTGGTGCCTATCTTCAAGAAAGGGAGGAAAGTGGATCCAGCAAACTACAGGCCCATTGGCCTGACCTCTATCCCAGGGAAGGTCTTAAAAAAGATTATCAAAGAGGCCATTCTTAATGGACTGGCTGATGGCAACATCCTGAGGGATAGCCAGCATGGGTTTTTTGTGGGTAGGTCTTGCTTGACCAATCTTATTTCCTTTTACGACCAGGCAACCTATCACCTGAACAAGGGAGAGGAGATTGATGTTGTATATCTTGACTTCAAAAAAGCCTTTGATCTGGTATCCCATGATTACCTCTTGGCAAAACTGGCCAACTGTGGTCCACCACGATCCGCTGGCTGGGGAACTGGCTCCGTGGTCAGACCCAGAGGGTGGTGGTTGACGGAAGTCAATCGTCATGGTGCCCTGTGACCAGTGGGGTCCCTCAAGGCTCTGTCCTTGGACCCATATTGTTCAACATCTTCATTAATGATGTGGACATTGGAGTTAGAAGCAGACTGGCCAAGTTTGCCGATGATAACAAACTTTGGGGTAAAGCATCCACGCCTGAGGACAGGAGGGCGGTCCAGGCTGACCTTGACAGGCTCAGGAAATGGGCAGACAAGAACCTGATGGTGCTTAACACTAAAAAATGCAAGGTTCTTCACCTTGGGAAGATAAACCTGCAGCATCCTTATAGGTTCAGGGCTTGCATCCAGGGATGCTTCTCATGCAAATCCCAGGACGTCATTCTCCCATTGCCTTGGTGAGGCCGCAGTTGGAGTATTACATCCAGTTTTAGGCTCCACAATTCAAAAAGGATGTGGAGAAGCTTGAGAGAGTCCAGAGAAGAGCCACATGCATAATCAGAGGTCAGGAAAACAGACCTTACTACAACAGGCTGAGAGCTATGGGACTCTTCAGCCTAGAAAAACACAGGCTCAGGGGGGATCTGATGGCCACCTATAAGTTTATCAGGGGTGTTCACCAGTATCTGGGGGAATGTTTGTTTACCAGAGCGCCCCAAGGGATGACGAGGTCAAACGGTTATAAACTCCTGCATGACCGTTTCAGGCTCTGGATGTAAGGAAGAATTTCTTGACTGTCCGAGCCCCTAAGGTCTGGAATAGCCTGCTGCCGGAGGTGGTTCAAGCACCTACTTCGAACGCCTTCAAGAGAAATTTGGATGTTTATCTTGCTGGGATCCTATGATCCCTGCTGACTTCCTGCCCCTGGGGCAGGGGGCTGGACTCGATGATCTTCTGAGGTCCCTTCCAGCCCTAATGTCTATGAAATCTATGAAATCTATTAAACCTTTTCCACTGCTTTACCCTCCTAGTGAGAAAGTGTTTCCTAATATCTAACTTAAACTTCCCCTCCTCCAACTCGAGACCACTGCTTCTTATTCTGTCATCTGTCATCATGGAAAACAACTTTCCCTTTACAAAGCTATGAAACTGAAGCCATGAGAGTAAACCTGCTGAGTTTCTTTTATTCCCTAAGCTTGTTATCCTTGCAGAGGGAAAAATTAGGCTAGCTTATCTGTAGTTGGCAAACCCACAGCATTTATCACCTTATTTCAACCTACTCCTAAGCACTTACAATGCATTTATTAAATGCACCAGCTTTTTGTCAGGTTCAGCCACTGAAACATCTATGTCTATTTCTTTGGCTTCTTCCTCCTTTTTGTCCCAAAATAAACAGCATTTTTGTACTTTCCAAATGGGACACCTCGCCATTACTCAAAATGCTCGAAGTAATTGCCAAAGGTTCTTGTGCTGTATCAACAGATTCTTCAACACATTGTCAAATGCAGAATGAGTGTATGTAGCCCTTAGCGTCCAAAATCCTTCAAGCGAGAGGATTCCTGAGTTCTGTCCCAGCACTTATATTGATGTGTATGGCCATTTTGTTTTACTCAATTTTGTCATATGTTGATAGGGAATAACTGTTTCCTAACTCAGAGAATGCTGGGAAGACTAACTGTTAAGTGCCTGGAGACTACTGGGGATGGGAGTCACTAGAGAAGGTATGCAACTTCAGGTCCCACTATCATAAATATATGCAATTCAGCTCAGTACACAAGAAAGGTTTGGAGCAACTGGCACACTGTAATCAGCTTCCAGGTTGGTAATGGTTGAAGGAAGTGACACAGTGGGAGCATCTTCTTGAGATGTTTACTACAGAGTTGCCTAATTAGCTCCACAATAAAGTCTTAAGATCTACACGTGCAGCCCTGTGAGGCTACAGGAAACTAATTAACTCCACCTCAGGTTAGTACTTGTAAATACAAGTACTGTCTTGCAGTGGTGTCTTTTGTATGCAGTAGCACATGTGCAGTTGCTGATACAGCTGGCTGGGGCATGAGGATGCTTCAGTGCACGGCTGCCTGCCCTCTGCAGCTCTTGAGCTCACGTGTACTCCTCATTCCTGATGTTCATAAGCTTTGGTGAATGGGGTGGATATAGAGAATCAAGATGATTTTTGCTGTGTAGAGCTAATCACTAGGGGAATCTAATGACATACTGTTTGACAATATGGAATCTCTCAGATACGTGAAGGAGACTGGATGTCTTAAGCATGCTTTGATCAAGAATTTTGAAAAAATAATAAAGGTAGTGTTTTATGGAAGGGAATAAAACTGATTGAAAAATAAAAAAGAAACACAAGTGCACCCTGTGGAAAAAAGAAAACCCACAAAGCCTATAATGTCAAGAAAAAATCCTAGTTAATAACAAGAGGAAAAGCTAAATTCTGAGCAAGGGCTGCATAAACAGATTTGCGTAGAACACAATGTACAAAATTCTTCTTGTGGTTTCTGTGCACTACCTTGATACATGAATTTAATACTCCCATCCTTCTGTAAAGATGGTTCCCATTATTACTATTGCTGAACTTTACAGATAGGGGTACCAAGCCACTGAGTTGAAGGGAGCAGTCTGAGAATGAAATCTGCTTTACTTAAAAGATGTTCCCATTAACTCCCATTATATACTGTCTGAAATCCACAGTGTGGACAGAGGAATAGGAGAATTTCAAATTTCCTCTTAAGTGTTTTTATTAATACTGTCTCAAAATGTCTCCCCCCTTTTCACAGTATCTGTTCTTCCTCAATCTCCAGTTTATCCGTTCCCCCAGCAACTCCCGATCCTTGTCAGGCTTCCATCACATTTCTTTGCACACCCCAGATAGCTCAAATGGCCATTTCTCTGCATCTGACTCAACCCTCTATGCCCTGTTCTCAATGAGACACTTTTCTTTCTCCATGAACAGGGCAGATCTAGTGGGAGAAACACCCCTGTCTTGTAGCCCTGGGCAAATTCTATGGGAGGATATCAGACTGGCAGGGTTTCCTGTGTTCAGGATTTCCCTCCTTGATGGATTCTCTGGTGCCGGATGAGAGCAGAGCTCACAGTGAACCCTTTCCCACAGTCAGCACATGCGTAGGGTCTCTCCCCCGTGTGGACTCTGCGGTGCTGTATGAGGTGCGCACTTTGCCGGAAGCTCTCCCCACATTCGGTGCATGCATAGGGTCTCTCCCCTGTGTGGACCCGCTGGTGCCGGAGAAGGGCTGAGCGCCAGAGGAAGCTCTTCCCGCAGGCCATGCACTCATAGGGCCTCTCACCAGTGTGGAAGCGCCGATGCTGGATGAGGTGGGAACTCACAGTGAAGCTCTTCCCACATTCAGCACATCCATAGGGTCTCTCTCCCCTGTGGAAGCGTCGATGCTGGATGAGGGCGGAGCTCACGGTGAAGCTCTTCCCACACTGGGCGCACTCATAGGGTTTCTCGCCCGTGTGCACTCTCTGGTGCTTCATGAGCTCTGAGCTCTGACTGAAGCTCTTTCCACAGTCTGAGCACTCATATGGTTTCTCTCCTGTGTGGATCCGCTGATGTCGAATGAGGGCTGAGCTCACACTGAAGCTCTTCCCACAGTTGTGACATTCGTAGGGTTTCTCTCCTGTGTGGATCCTCTGGTGCTGGATTAGCTGTGAGTTCCCTGTGAAGCTCTTCCCACAGTCACTGCATTTATAGGGCTTCTCACCTGTGTGGATGATCTGGTGCCGAATGAGTTTGGAGCTCATGCTGAACTTCTTCCCACAGTCAGTGCATGCAAATGGTCTCTCCCCCGTGTGGATTCTCTGGTGCTGGATGAGGTGCGAGCGCTGCCGGAAGCTCCCTCCACACACAGCACACCCAAAAGGCTTTTCCCCTGTGTGAATTCTCTGGTGCTGTACAAGGTTGGAGCTCACCCTGAAGCTTTTCCCGCAGTCGTTGCATATTGTCGGCCCTCCTGCTGTAAAACTTCTCTCTCGCACCATGTCTGGAAGTTTCCTAAACTGTCTTTGACATGCGATTCCTTTGCCTTGACTCTGTCCTGGAGGAGATCGCTGAAGCCTTTGTGACCGGCGCCTGCGACCACAGCTTTGGCTCTTCTCAGGGCTCTGATAAATACCACCTCGGGATGCGTCTGATACTGTGTCATATGGTTCCATTGACTTGGGGTCATCCTGGTGGGGATTCTTCTCATTCTCACTAAGAATCCCACCACCTGCTGCAATAAAATGAGAATTCTGACATAAGTCACTGGAGGGAACTCAAAAAGACATAATCTGACCATCATATTTCTGTATTAATATATACTACATTCTCTTTTAACAGGTAACCCCCAAGTGCTTGAAGCCGAGGCCGCTCTTGAGTTTTTGCTCTCCAGAGTATTTGATAGTTGCCTCTAAAGGATGAGCCTAGAGTGGCCTCACCAGTACACTTTTAGCATTGGAGTGTGCCTGCAGGCTTGGGGGGGTGGGATATGCTGACTCCCTGCCAGACTGCGGGACATGGCTGCTCTGGTGAAGATAACCCCTAAGATGCCAGAAATGATAGTGTATCTCAGGCCCACCCTGTAGAAGATTTTCAATAAACAAGGGACCAGAAATATTCAGGCAACAATATTTTTTATGAATTTTAAAAAATAAGGGTATTCTGTTCAAGGGTGCTCTGCCAGAGGATTATTTTATTTAAAGATATTCAATAAAAAGCCAAAGGTGACCATATTCTTTCTAATCATAACTATTTAATTTGATTTGTCTTATAGCAACCACTAGAAGCCACAATGAAGAGTTAGAGTCCATTCCTTGACTCTTTTGGCTAAGGCAATAGCCATCAGGAAGGCAGACTCCTTCAGAGGGTGCTTGCTGACTGTGGGTTGTATGAGTAAATCTCTTGTTTTAGGAATCCATAAAAAAGTATGGTAGAAAAATACTGAACGAGACTAAGCAAGAAGGCGGGCATGCCAAGAAAATGGAGAATCCAGAAAGTCTTTACTGTTGGATATAGTAGAGTTTGGAGGATAGGAGCTTCCAAAGGGTTGAAGTTGGGTTCCAAAGGGGGTTCTCTCCCGCAGAGAATATTTTCCTTTTGAGTTGCAAACTTCCCTTGTAGAACACTTACTTCTCTACCTGTGTGGAATAATCTCTACCAGTAGATTATAGCTAGCCAATGTCCATACCATCAAATAGCAATTTTAGGTCCGGATGGAGTATTTGCATACTTTTCTAAGATATTCTCTCTTTTATATCTGGAAGTAATGTTGGTGGCTGAGCCAAAAGTTGGAGATAATCTCTGAACAGGAGCAGTTTATCATAGCTGCATCCTCTCTAATCTTATTTACCACTCTGGTTAGTAGAGAAATCAAAGTAAATACATGAAGACTTAGATTCCAAGAGAAAAGGAATGTGACCTGCATAAACTCATGCCTGTCCTATCACAGAAGAAAGGCCACTTTGGGCAGAACCCTATTTCACCTTGCACACCCAAATGGCACTTACCCAGCCACATAACGGCTGGCTCGGCACTTAGGTACCTTGTAATCATATTCCATGTGCAGTGTGGATGCACAAGCTTCCACACAGCTGTTGCGCATGCTCATTAGCAGGGATCTGTGTTTCCTCTGATAAAAAAAATGACAAACTCTGATAAAAATCAGCAAAATCTCTGATAAAATCCCCAAAATCTGCGATTAAAATGAAATGCCACTATATATACAGGTATTAACTGAACACAATATTTTATTGATATATTTACAATTTTAAAGCAATTCGAAGCCTACCATGCGCCTTAATCATTATAATAAAATCAATTCTAAATACTTATAAATTTTGATATTTGATTTAGGATTTTTTATCATGGAAAATCAGAGCTATCCCTGCCCCCCTTAGCTCACCAGAATGCAGGTCCAGGCCCCTCACTCCCCACCCACAGGCCCCCCAGCAGGGGTACCAATGCTCCCAAGATGTATGTGCAGGGGTGGGTGTGGGCTGCCCACTGGGGGCTTAGGCTCTCCGCCCTCCCCTGGGGCCTCCACGGCCCAGCACCTAGGACCCAGCACAGCAGGACAGAGTGAGGCCAGGCAAGGAAGCTCCTTGCCACTGAGTCCTGCACCACTCTGGCGATGTGCCCTCCACCTCTGCTGCCACCCCCACTGCTGCCAGGCGGTGCTTTGGCAGGGCAGAGTGGGGCTCACAGCAGTGGCACCAAGCTTGGAACTGCCCTGGTCTGCTCTGCCATGCCGGGTCCCAGCTGCTGGGCTGCAGAAGCTCCAGGGGAGGGCAGCAGGGTGGGAAGCCCAAGTCTGCAGTGAGCAGTCCACACCCACCTCCACAAAGATATGAGGGGCACATGTCCCCCCTGGGAGTACGCGCAGCAGCAGGGAGCCAACCCCAACCCCCCTGCCCTCCAGATGAGCTGCCCACAGCTCCATCTTTCTCCCCACCGAGCCACTGTGGCCACACATTCCAGCCCTGGGCCTCAAGCCCCATGTACTGTCCCAGCTGTGCAGCATCCCCTGCCCAACTCCCTCCCTTCCTTCCTATGGGGGCCTCAATTCCCCCTGCCTACCCCACATCAGACTTAGCTGCAGGAGCTGCTCTCCAGGCTGCCTGGTGGCCATGTGCATATCCATTAGGTATATTAGGTTGATTAGGTATTCAGGTAAGGCTGACCAATCTGCAATTCTCTGGGGCCTCCTTGTTCCTCTTTTTGAATATGAATGTGATATTCACTCATTTTTTTCAATATTCTGGGGTGTAACAGGTTCATGCTCCAGAGGTGGCTGCAACACCCCCGATGGCCATGCAGTTCCTGTCCTGGCTCTAACTCTTCAGGTACTCTCTTATCTCCTGGTCTCACCTGCCGCACCTTTGATGTTAAACTTTATTAGGAGGGAAGCTGCCTGAGGGTCTTAGAGCACACCTGTTGCTGTTCCTGTTTTGGGCTTTGGCCTTCTCAGCTTCTGCCCTTTTCCTTTCAGAGTGAACTGAACTTCAGGGTTCCCAGCTTTGTCTTCTCCCTTCTTAGGTGCTGGGAGCCTTCGGCCTCAGTCCCTGCCCTTTTAGGGCTTTGGGCCTTCCAGCCTCTGACTTCAGTCCTGCCCATCCTGGGGTCTGGACCCCATGGTCCTCAAGCTCTGCCCTGCTCTGGGTGCTCAACTCCCTGGCCTCAAGCCCTGTCCTGCTCTGCGTTTGTTGCTACCTTGCCTCAGAGTGGGCAAACAACCACTTGGGGCTTGCCCTTGGGCACCAGCATTACCCCCGCTCTGAGTTCTCAGTCTTAGTGGTAGTCCCAAGGCAGCTCAGCAGTCCATCTGGCACACTCTTACAGTTTCCCTAGCCAGGAGCTCCCTCCTTTGCAGCTTGCAGGGCCAGACTGCCCTGCTCTGGCTTCGATCAGAGATTATATGCCCAGAGTCCTAACTTCTAGTCACAGTCCAGTAACCTGAGTTGCTCACAGGACTGTTTATTAACCCCAGCCTTACTGGCTGCCTTTGTTCAGCTCATAAAAACAAGGGACCATTCTGCTTCACTGTAACAGGATAAGGCTGGGGTAGGCAATTATTCTGGCTGAAGGGCCACTTAATGAGTTTTGTTAAGCTGTCGAAGCCCGCAGAGGTAGCTCATCCCCTTCACAGGTGCCTGCACTCCGTTGATCATCATCTTGGGGCCAGAGGTCCCACCCGTGACCTTTGCCACCAGAAATCCCTCCCCTTGCCCCCAGAAGTGTTCCTTTTGGGAAGGGGGTTTGCCATCTTGGAACCAGAAAAAAAAAAGATACTAAAAATCAAATATCTACAATAACATATTTTAATTTCATTTTAAAAAATTTTTGTCCTGATCTGTGTGTGTTTCCATCATGTTTATAGAGGTGATTGCACAATAGCTCAAAATGAAGTCTTACTCTTGTATACTGTGGGGGAGGGGCTGTGGGTGTGTGAGCATGTGGGATGTGGGGGAAGGTGTGGGGGTATGTATGTGCGGGTGGGTTTGGGGATATCAGTGTTGTAGGCCCCCTCCTACAAGTATGCCCCCCCAACCGTGCACAGCCCCTGCAGCCAGCAGCAGCAGCAGCAGGCAGAACCCCCCAGTGGTACATGGTCCTGGCATGCCCCAGGACTGCGCATGGCCTGGCCACCAGCTCCATCATGCAGGGCTCACAAGCCCCAGCACTGTGCTGCTGGTTGCAATGAAGCCAGCAGTTCAGATCACGGGGCTCAACCAGAGCAGCAGGGACAGGGGCAGAGCCAGCCGGCTCCATAGCACGGAGCTCACTGCCATTTCCCATGACCTGCGCACAGCAGTGAGTGGGACTAGGCCACCGGCTCCATCACGCAGGGCTCCCTCCAGTGGCATGCAGCTTGGGTCGAGAACCTTGGAACTACATGTGAGCCCTGTGCAATGGAGCCAGGTGGACTCTGTACTCCCGCTGGCCTGCCCTGGCTCCCCACTGGCCCCTTACGGCAGCAGCATGGGCCCCGTGCCCCACCCAGTTGCTGCTTCACTCTCGCTCTCAACTGCCACCATTATCCCCTCACTGCCACTGTCACTCCCCCCCGCCACTTCCACCACCCTCATCTGCCACCACCCTCCCTGTGCTAACACTCCCCCACTTCCTCCACCGCCACTTTCCTCCTTGCCGCCCATCGCTGCCACTGCCATCATTTCCCCCGCCAACCACTGCTTCCCTACCTGCAGGGCCACGGTCAGGGCCACCTTGCGGGTGAGAGTGGGGGTGCAGCATGTGCTGCCTGCATGGGAGTGAGCAGGGCTCAGCCCCATGCGAGTACAGCAGGGGCAATCCAGGGCCAGGCTGCATGCAGTGAATTGGTAGGCACCCACCTGCTGGCTGAATGAAATCTCCTGGTGGGCTGGATCTGGCCCATAGGCTGTATTTTGCCAGTCCCTGGGGTAAGGTTTCCTGTTACATGGGGCCTCACCTGATCTCCATGATCTCAGAGCTCACTCTGAAGTTACCTTAACCAATGTCTTCAGTACTCTAGAATGACTCTCCTGCTGATTTGAAAATATCCACCTTGTAAAAGTAAAATTCGAATCTGTTTTTTCCCTACCCTAAGCCAGTGATTCTTAAACTTGGGATTCCATGAGATCCTTTTAAATGTGCTGTAAGGTTCCATGCAATACTAGCACTGTTAGGTGTGCAAATACCTACTGCTGGCAAAGGCCTGACACAATCATCATGTATGTGTTGGAAGTCAAAGCACAA